TGCTGGGCCGCCGGTGTTTATCATATAGGGTTGTTCATCTAAATGTAAGCCTTGCATTTTTTCGTTTTTATACCAGCATTTAGAAATAAGAGTTACATGAAAAAATACTGTATTATTAATAGCAAAAATATGTCAAAAATGTTGACAAACCAAATCACTATTAATAAGTAGCATGCATGTGCATAAATGCGAACGATCAGCGAGAATAATGACAAAGTTAACATGGACACAATGGCGTCGTCGGACTTTATGTATCTTGATAATGTCATTTTGAGGGAGGTCCTCCAGAAGAGAGCTTAGGTGAATTTGTTGTGTATCATACCCTTCCTCAATAAGTTTGTCATTAGGTAATTTATTGTTTTCCATTATTATATAATAATAGAGTGATTGTATAACTTCATGTCTTTGCCAGGAAAGCATTTCTTCAGTAAGATATTCTTTGAGAATACGATCAATTTCAGGAAAACATTCGGCAGAAGCGCCACTCAACTATGCACTTGCATTAGCATGGTACCACTCATTATGATTAACATATCGTGCTTCGTCACATAGCCGCAGATCTAAAATGGTAGCGAGTTCGCAAAGACCAGGATGGCCTTGAAGAACATTTTTTATTACTGAGTTTTCGCTTTCAACACATGATGTCGATGAAATGCCAGCTGTGAAGAATTTGGTTATATATGCCTTAGCCCATTTTTCTTTGCTAAGATAAAGCTCGGAATTAAGGTAATCAGCTGTTTTGGGGTATGTTGCAATAAGTTTATGCCATTGAGCTTCAAATCCAGTAGGAGAAAGATCATTTCGACACAAATAAAAATCTTTCGAGAAATCATTATAGTTACTACCGAGGGAAGCTTTGAGGTTGCGTATAAGATTTTGAGAGATATGATAGATACAATGAAGTGGATATGTGTTGCAATATTGACTATCTATAGCGGCATCCATTCCAGGGTCAGCGTCAGTAACGAAAACTCGCGGAGCACAGTTTGTAGCCTGTATAGTAGAGGTGAAGAGTTACTCATACGTTTCTTTAGTTTCATTATTTATCAAAGCTTGTGCAACGAGACGACTGCGAAAATGGTTGTCAACTGCCATAAATAGAGAAAGCGGCATGTTGAATTGGTTGGTTTTATGTGTGTTATCGTTCAATATAACATCATGATATGTAATCCACAGCTGAATTTGTTCTGGCGACATCCAAAATATTTTATCTAGGCTATTTGTTTCATGGTGGAGCTCCCAAAATACTTCCCATTCCGGTTCCTCAGATTTTTTGATAAGTAGTTGTTTTAGAAGCTTAGATGTATCATTTTCTTCCTGGTTTGCTACTTTATATTTTTGTATTAAATTTTGTAGGTCACGCGGATGAATCGTAATGTTTGAAAATTTAGTAGACAGAAGTCGGCGTTGAACTGTTGCATTAAGGTTTCCTTCAACTGTGTAAAAACAAATTTCTCATACAATGGCTTCAGGTAAGGTTCGATTTTTTGCGGCATATAAATTAGTCGTAGGATTGAGTGGGTGATTGTGATCAAGATTTAATGATTTCACACTAATAATTGCAGCTTTCTTTGGAAAGGTTACATTAATGTGCCAAGGACAGCCAGACCGTTTCGATCTACTATTTCGTTGATTTTTTAGGATTACAGACTTCTTAGGCCCATAAGTGCCCTGATGATCACATGCGAAAATACGTCGCCTACAAGTCTGCTCTGGTGGGGGGTCCCGATCATTTCTAATTTTAATAACTACAAAATTTTTTTGCCAGGCGTAATCATTAAAATATTTATCTACATCATCCCACGTTTCGAAGACTTGCCCAACAAAAGGTGGCATCACGATTTGTTGTGGAGAGAAAGAACTAAAGCTTAATAAAGAGAGAAAAGAGGATCTGAGCTAATGCCAGACTCATTAAAAAAAGTTTTTTTTAAGAGTATAATACTTTGTGGTCGAGTTTTCCAAATATATAATTTCGCCATTATCAGGCTGCATTATTTCGTCGCAGGGCTGAATTCCGTTATCATTATCATTACTAGACTGCGGTGTTTTGTCATTATCATGGTTCATTATAATCGTCATTAATAATAGTAAAAAAAAAATTTGTCGCATCACTATAATATAATTGACGGTAGTCACATAATCATGTATGATCACGTGATCGGTTACAGTCACCACCGATTACAAATACATTTTTTCTTATTAATTTAATTATTTACTATTATATTAATCAAGTTTGCATATAATGTCATATTATAATGTCACGTGATTATCGATTATATCGTTTGGTGAATTTCGAGCGAAACTATTATTTATATTACTTTATTACCTATAAATTTTATTATCTTTAAATTTCAAATACTTTTATTATGTTTTTTTTGTTTTTTTTACAAAATATGTCTTCTTTAAACTTAAGAAAAAACATTTCTAAACTATTTCGTTCCCACCTTACTCTTTACCCTTGAATTCTTATTCTCCTTCTCAAAAAAGTTTTGCTGCTTCAATTTTACATAATGTGGCTTCTCATTTATCAGAAAATAATCCAATCCAATTATATAATTATTTCTTTAACCAATCTAATATTGAAAAAACATTTTTTCCAGATTCAAAACATACAAAAAACACAAATTCTCCTACAAAATATAAATCCAGTCTTTTATCTTTAATAGCTGATTTATATAGTAGATCAGAATTAACAAATCTTGATTTTTACTTTAGTAATACACAATTTAATACCTCTTTAAAAAAAGCAAATAATCAATCTTTTTTTTTATCAAATTATCAAAGACACATTCCTTTTTTTAAATTTGCTATTATCAAACAAACTATTGAACTTATTCTTAATTCCCTTTTACAAAATTCTCGATTATTTACTATTACATGCCAATTTCCAAAACTTCTATTTTCTCTTGAAAATATTTCTACTAATTTTAATCCTACTTTCATTTATTACTTAGAAAAAATCAAAAAAACTATTTATTCTGAATTAAAAACACAAAATTTTTCTTTAAAATTATCTCTTGAAACATTTTCTAAATATTGTTCTTCAAACTTCAAAAAAGCACAAAAAAAAACAGATATGTATCCAATTTGTATTAAAGGAAAAAAAATTAAAAAAAAATTACAACAAACCAATCCTTCTAATACCCATCTTATTTCTCAATTATAAAATCAAATTTACCTTTATCATCAACACCTTTATTTCAAAACCCAATAACAACATCTTTATCAAAAATCTATTGATTGTATTACAAATACTTTTTGTGTTATAGTTATGGATTTTAAAGAAAATTTTAAAATTGGTGATGGTCCTATTGAAACTGGTAGAAATTTTTATGAAAAAACACAAAATTCTCTTTTAAGATTTGCTATTTATTATAAAGATAATAATGGTACAATCCAAACACAATATTTTGACTTTTTTTCAAAAATTTTATCCCATGATTCTTTATTTGTTTCTAATTGTATCAATCAACTTCTTTCAAATCCTTTTATGTCACAATTTTATGAAATTTGCTTTTGGTCAGATTCTGGTTCTCATTTTAGATCAGCCAAACTATTATACTTTATTTTTAATTATTTACCATCCCATTATAACAAAAGATTTTTTCTTAATTTTTTTGTTGAATATTATGAAAAAAACATTGTTGATAGTCACTTTGATGTATTATTAAGATGGTTTTCTGAAGGTGAAGCAATTCAAAACATTCATACCCTTGAAGAATTAATTAATTTTTTTGAAAGCAAAATCCAATTTTCTTCCAATATTATTTTTGATACCTATTCACATACTCAACCTAGAAATAATATTCACAAATTAACTATAGATAATTTTTTTTCATATTTATCATTTACAAGATTTAACAACAAATTATATGTTTCAACTCTTAGTACATTTAATTTTGAAGATTATATAAAAATTCCCTTTAAGATAAAAATAGTTAAAGATACAAGAAAAACAAAATATGCACCATCCAGATAACCAACAAACACCTTAATAGTAATGGGTAGTAAAAATAGACAAAGATTACTTACTAGAATAAAAAAAACATCTAATTTTCCTATTCCAATGGAAATATAATTTAACAATAATATAAAATAGAACCTAAAGTATAGGAATAGCTATATATGACTTTGGATCCAGCTATTTCCTTCCATGCAAGTTCTATTTTATATTTAATTATATTTCTTAATTTTTTTTTTTTAAAAAAAAAATCTTTTTATTTAATTTATTATTTATTATTAAAAAAATTAATTAAGAATAAAAAAATATTTATTTATTTAAAATTATATTAATAAATACTTATTATTTATATAAATAAAATTTTATTAATTATTATATTGAAATAAAGTTAATTCCACGAAATATTTATATTGGTTTTTATGGTTTTTTATCGTTTCGCGAATTTCGCGCTAATTTCGTTACGTGACGATCAATCACGTGATAATATAAGTATATACCGTATTAGTCGGTCGACATGTCATACGAAATTGATCTACTATAAATTTCTAAAATTATTAACAAACGTTTTTATACAAAAATTGGATCTTTTCATTAGTAAATATATATATTTTTTTTAAAAAAATTGTTTTATACCTTCTATATTATAAAATTATAGTTTATTTGTTTTTTTTTGAATAACATTTTATTAAATAAATGACATTTCAAAAGTAGTAACAAATTTTATTTCTTTTTCAGGATTATTTTCAAATATATGGATTAAGCAAATAAAAATTGGCTAAAAAGGTTATAATGGTTAAGAACTTTAAGAAGATATATATTTTATCAGGATTATTTTAAAAATTCAAAAAAAAAAAAACTTATAAAGAGAATCATATATAAAGAAATAAGATTTACAAATATAACTGAGCTTTATTCTATCTGTCACTATAATTTATTCTCTTTATTATAAATTAATAGTATCTATCAGCTATTAAAAATAAAAATTTTTTAAACTAATTCATTTTATTATAATATTTTATAAGCATTTCTT